GAGCCGGACTATGACTGTTTTACGTAAGCCGAGGATATCGAATAGGCTTTCAAAACCCAGATTGACTAGAGGTCTTCACTCAGTTGGGAAGCTTTTTTTGCATTGTATCAATGAGCAGATATAATGAATATAAGGCTGAAGATTAACTATAAGTGCAGTATTTCTATAGACAAAACCGGTTTTCCATTTAATCCGCCTGAGCCGATGCATTCCACATTCAAAAAAGAGAAATTGTATGATTATGTTTGGATCGCGCATGAATGAGATGCGAGAGCCGATCGAATATCAACTTTCCTTTCTCCCAAATGAATTGTTCATCAGTCGGTCAGCTCCAAGTGAAGGGAATCAAATCAGGATAATGTTTTCCTCTGCTCCCAAAAGCTCTTGCGCATTGATAGTAGTGTGTTTACCTTGTTTACCCCAAGCATGTGATCCGCAGCGGAAATTTTTTTCAAAATGTTATATCACTTCTAAAGGTTTCTGTGGAAATTGAGATTTTTGTAAAGTTACATAGGTCTTCCACTCAAGAAATACCTTACCTTTGACGGTTTCGGAATCTTCGATTCGCCTCGTCGAAAGAACGCTGGTGCCAACTTCTTACCGGCTGAGCGTAACGACCTGAGGATACTGTAAATGCTATAAAAACAAGGAGATTGGCATGCAACGGACGACGGACGACTAAGGGACAGCACACACACGAATTCAAGGGGAAGATGCTTCTAGGGGGTTCATGTTTGCGATTGATCATCATGCTATCTACAATAAACAGACCTGGCAGTAATTGGCATTTTGGGGCTTCGGGTAATCTTCTCTTTCTCTTCTCGTTTCTCCCTCTTCAGCCTTTCTTTTTCCTCTGTCTGAATGCCATGATCTTTGCATAATTCTTTACTAAAGCCATTAGAAATTACCTTTTTCTCCTTTCGATCCTCCGATTTTGACCTGAAACTCAATCCAGCTCTCTTTTTCTCGTCCTTTGAAACGACACCGGAAATCTGAATATGTTTTCTTCACATTATGGAAAAAGGGTGGATGTTGTGGACCACAAAGGTGTACTGCACTCGACCCATTACCACTCTAATAACTCAAAGATTTATTCTGCAGGGATCGATTTTTGCAGTAAAGGCTACTGCTAAGATGCCTAGATGGTAGATGATGTTATCGCTGTGAAAAGCTACCCAAAAAAGACGCGATCGGAGTAAAGAATTCTGCGCGAAGACCTTTTAAGGAAGGGAGCGAGGAAAAGGGTACTTCTAGTTGTGGAAGTGATATGACTCCAATAAGCGGGACCTAGTACGAGAATATACTTTTTATCTTTTCCTGTACAATCGCCAAAAACATACCGGACGAAGTTTCCATTTCTTTAGGTGAAACTGCACTCAGGAAGCCTTGGATATGATAAAGCTCTAGGCTTTTCCTTCGTTCCCCTGACCTAGATAACCACTTGACGCTAACTAGGCACAACTGCAGGCAACCTTATTTGTCCCCCGTTCGAAGCCATAGCGGCTTCTAAGGCAAAACACTCATGTCCTCGACCGATATTCCTGAGAACACACTCATTCTTTTCAGATATGCCGTATTAGGGGCTAGAAAGCTTGACAGCGTCGAACTATGTACAAATTTGATCCAAAAATTTCCCATTGATTCTGCACTGAGTGTTGTGAATGGACTCAGAAAAGGTTTTGAAAAATTGAAGAGTATCTTGCTCCAAGTGACTCAGATTGGTAAGTCTCAACAGTTACTAGCTTCATTTGACTATTTGATTTCATTACATTCCCTCCGAATTCCCAGTAAATTTATCGCGATTGCAAATAAAAGTTACTCCTAGGCAAATAAAAGATGATTTACTCCTGGGGAAACATCCTAAGGAAAGACTGATCGAAGGATCAGTCAGACAATGACTGAGAGCACAATATTTCAACTCAATATTCAGCAGGGGTCTAATACAAAGGGTCTAATACAAGGTTATGCATGCACTATTGTGGCTGGCCCCAATACCTTTGCGCACCCATATGTACTGTAAAGG